CTTCCTGTTTTTCCCGGTCAATGTCCTGATCGGAGTGCTGCTGGCGCTGTGGCGCCTGGTCATCACAGCTCTGTTCAACATTATCCACTTAGGTCGTATGGACATCAGTCTTCTCAACCGCAATGTCGAAGCCTTTGACCCAGGTGAGTAAGGTGTTGTACACTAGCTGACCAGCTAAACATAGCAGGAGCGCCACTGTTCTGTGGAGCTGTACGTCTCCAGTCGTGGTGTAACCACTACCGCCTGTTATCGTAGAAGTCTAGGCCATCACTCGCACCTCAAATAATGTTAATTCTTCCAAAGCTTGTTCTTTTTCTTCTTCTCTGATTTTAAAAATAGAGCTTAATAGTTTCGATTGTGTTACTGCCATCTGCTGGATGAATTTTTACTATTAACTGCTTAATATTTCTACTTGCAAAATTGAACTAAAAAACGTCACCATTCGCTTCTTGTGATCAATAAAACCTTATTCAGGTTTATTGTTCTAAAGTGCATCTCATATATATTTGTAAATAACAACAAAACCTGCATTTTATTTTCTATTTTCTATCCGGTGTCTGTTGTTTTTTCTTCAACATAGCTTTATTCTCTTTTATCACCATTTCCTCACTTTTAAAATGTCACTGTGTTTTTTAATCTCTTAGTGGAGGCATAAAAAAAGCTTTTATCTAAGAGCTAATGCACTCTCACTGATCCCACTCAAAGGCCAGAAATGTGCCTTTTATCCACTCTACCCAGCAAGTGACTCACTGCAGTGCCTTGTTCCAATCATATCTGTATTCTGTGCAGTGCGAGACACTGTAATTGTCTGCCCATTTTTGAAGCTGCTGCAAATTTAGGACATCTGTTGTTTGAAAAAAAAAAGCAGGTGGTTAAAGAAATGTATGGCTATTATGTCTGATTGCCTCAAAGCTAACATGCGGTGCAGGCCTCCGCAGTTATTGCTTTTTCCCAGTCAGAGTTAAGCCCCTCCTCCCTGTGTCTGTCTGCAGCCTACCGCTGCTATGCTCATTATCTGAAGATTGAGGTGAGCCAGTCTCACCCTGTGATGAAGGCCTTCTGCGGGATGCTGCTGCAGTCTGTGGGCCAGGAGACCAACACTCAACAGAGGTCACGGGACGCCGAAGAGGGTCTGTAATAACCCTGCCCCCAAATCATGGACCACACACTTACTAATTTATACATTAAACAGCGATTTGGCTCAAAAATCAAGACCTGCCACAGAAATGTGATGGTTGGTTTTAGGGGTATTTATAAAAAATAAATAAAAAACATTTTTTTATTAGCCAATAAATGACAAAAAGGTCAAACAAACCTACAATCGCGACGTCCTGATTTTTAGTAATAATTGTGCAGATAAGAAAATATGCACAGAATAAATAATATTTGTTTCTGCACTGACAAAAGTATGACATTTTCTCAGTCAGGAGGTACACCTCTCCATCCATTTCTACAGTAAAGCCAGTTTGGTGTCGCTAATGTCCCCAGAGCTTTTTAGTATTCAGCCACAGTTCACTTTAACACATAATCAGATCCCACCCCTTTATCACCCGTGGAAAGAAAATGAAAGCTTTACAGTTGTGATTTAATATGTCATGGCTAAATTGAGTTTTCCTGCAGATGTGTGCAGCAAACCCACCAAAAACTCATCAGGTGCCTGCATTCACCTGGGCCTCGGTCCTATAGATTAGTGCTGCGTTTTATATTAAAAATAAAAATAGAAATCTGAAATGCCAAAATTGTAAGATATCAACATTTTTTCAGTCAGATGCTGGATCTACAGCAACACTATTATTTTGAGGGTAAATAATAATGAGGATTACAGTATCGGCTGCTGTGAAATCTGTGGAATTTGTTGCAGTCACACACAGTAGAAATGTGGCTTGTTTGTATCTTGAAAGCGCGGCATTATCTCTATCTGAATAATGTATTATAAAGATTAGTTTTTCAGTAGCTGATTAAAAAAGATAAGCCCCACAACTGCCTGTTACATATTCATGTGGCCCAAAGGGGCTCAGACATCCGGTGTGTTGATAACAGGCCCAGTGGGCTGGTGTGAAGCTCGGAGGATTAAAGATGATTGCTTTCTATTATTACTCCTGCTCAAGTATCAAACTGGTCCTAAGTGGCTTCGACAAAACTCATTTGCATTGGGTTTTTTTTTTTAGATGATTGTTTATGTATGACACACCTTTGGGCTCTATATGATTTGTGAAATGTCTGCAGGGATCCAGCTGGGTCAGCAGGAGAAGAAACACTACAAAATGTCCAGTGCCAAGAGGGCCCGCAGGCACTGGCAGCTCCTCTACACCCTGGCCAACAACCCCTCACTGGTGGGCACCAGGAAGCACTACCAGCGTCAGTCGAAAGAGAGCATTTTGAATGGCAGCGTCAAGTGCAGCAACGTGGAGGGGAGTGAAAAGGTGGAGGCTACAGCCCGGGCTTAATGGATACGTGACGGAGATGATTGATGCAAATTTTTATCAACATCCAGTATTGATGTTTTGTGTGAAATGTTCAACAGGCTGTTTTTTTTGTTTTGTTTTTGTTTGTTTTCTGAGCTGAAATTGTGTGTTTGTTTTGTGCTGTTATTTCCCTCCCGGCTGTTTTATGTGTGAAGCTCAGACTCCAGTCAGGCAGAAAAGCCATTGTGACTGGTGTAATATTCTGATCACGTATCACTTCCATCATATTCATCGATCATGCATGTCACATGATGCTTTGTCTTATAGTTAATTGCAGATGTTCGATATGTAGTGCAATTAATTCAGAATGTGTTTTTTTCCCCCAATCTGGACAGATGGATGTGCAGCCATGCACTGTAACCTCAAACTGTTGGAGATTGTATTTATATGTAGAATGTTTCAATATTTATGACGTCCTCACTGTCTGAATAATGAATATCCTGTTTCAGCCTGTGGATTAGAAACTATCGAGTGTATTTGTATTGTTTTCAGTTTTATTTGTAGACATTGCGGTGTATAAAACGCTCACCGATATTTGTTTATTGACTGGTTTCTGACATTTACCATCTGACGTGCGGCTGAAGTCTGCAAACTTATTTGAAAATTTAATTTTAATTAGCAGTAATGGGATATTTATTTTATACACACTTATTTGAGCTGTTTGTGTTCACATTATGAATGACACAGTTCCCCCTTTAAAATACAGCTATCCAAACTGTCTTTCCATAACCCTGAAAATTGAACCAAAAAATATAAATCTGCATTTCTATATGTTACATTATTAGTGACTTATTTTAGGAGTGCTGTGTCATGTCAATGTGTCAATTGAAACTTTGCCAGTTTTTATAAATGTGAAATTTGAATGGCCATATTTAATTATTAAAAAAAAGTAGAAGCTCGAGAAACGAGACATATATATACAATATAATACAGATGTTGGGTACTAATAGTAATAATAATAATAATAATAATATTGATGTTTCTATGTTTATTACTATTGTTTTTCAATTCCTACTGAGTAAAACCATGGTTCTGCCTGATGTGAAGTCAATGATGGTGTTTCGGAATTCCATTATTCAGTGAATGCGTCCTGAGTTCAACTTTCACGTCTGTGGTTTTAGTTAATTTTAGTAATAATTCAAGGTCATTGTTATGTTCTACCTTTGTCTGTGAATGGTGTTGTCCATCTATTCGACTATAAAATGACCCTCAGCTGTTTTCACTTGAACAATGATACCTTAAACTCCTGGGTTAAACACATATCGATGGGTTTTTGGTTTTGTTTTTTGTTTTTTTCCCCGAGGTCGTTCTGTTATTTTCAGCTCTTCTCCATGCGCTTCCTTCGAACGCGCAAAAACGCACCGGAATCCACCACGAACAACAAACTAAAACATTTCCACAGCCATGTCGAAATATTCAACAATATATTATATTTTGTTTATTTACATGATCACGTGTGATTTTATTATACATGTTATATTTAGACCCGCTGTCGTGGTCAGATTGGATCAGTTAACTGTCAAATACAAATGTCGAAAGAGCCTGTGTACCTTCATTCGTTTTATTAATTTCACGTACATAAAATTATGTTAAAAAATCTCCAAAAGTTTACAAGGCTTCTTGATTTACAACATAGTTCACGAAAACACACTATGCGTTAGAATACAGGACAGTGAAGCCGCCGGACGGGCGCGCGCGCTGCTGTGTCCGGGCTTTGTTAAAAATGACAGTCATAAAAAAGAAAAAAGAACAACCTTTAATTTACGTGGTTTCACATCACAGGTCGACAGCAACATCTACAGTCATCTAGATTACACTAAGAAAAACTACACAGGGAAAATACGCGTGACATGCCGTGGATGGACACGTTCACTGGAGAGAGAGAGAGAAAAAAACACCCGTGGTCTTGGTCGTAAGAGGTGAATGTCGAATATATTTAAAGCTTTACATTACATCGTGTGAAACTAAACCCCGGTCGAAGAGAGTTGAGCGGTCAGTCATGACGTAGACAGAACGGAAAGGTTCCTTTCGCTTGGTTCGCGGCACATCGGGCAGGACGCAGCGTTCAGCAACGGAAATCCGTGGAATATCATCACCGTCTCCGTCCATCATCTTTATCAATAACAATATCGGTATCGGTATCGTTCATACCACCTGCTGCTTTTGCGCCGACACCTGAGAGAACTTGGCCTGTGAGAGGTTTCTAAAAACAGGTTCATCCACAGCCTGGCGCACAGACAGAGAGAGAGAGAGAGAAACGAATCTCCCTGACGTTAACACGGCTATAAATATATGGCACTTTTTTGGTCTGTTGCTTTTTGTGCTCTCGAAGACCACGACTCCTTTTTTTAATGTCGTTTTTCGCCTTAGATTACACGTGATTCCCGGTGTGTGCGCCGATGCCCAGTGGCCGTCCCGCTGACTGGGAGCCACACTTTTTTTAAAACTGACTCACAAATACACATTTGTGCTTGCACGGTTGTAAACGTATGTGACTCAGGTTAACCTTACAGTAGACTACTATTATCTTACATCAACCGATTTACAGCCTCAGTGTCCGGCGACGCGTTTTCTGAGGTAAAAGAAATGAGCGTGAACAAAGAAAGTTGGTTGGAACTCACAGAGACGCACCTTCAGTTCTATCAGGCGTCATGGTTCAGTCGTTGTGATGAAGGACGAGTTACCTGCTATAATTCAAAAGTAAAGTGTTTTAATGAGGTGATGGGGGGTACTGCAGCGGCTGCAGCGGCTGCAGCAGCGTCACTCAGCGGCCCGGCTGCTTGTAGTTGCCGTTGATCTCCTCGGAGATGTTGACGGCCTCTGCTCCCAGCGGGAGTTTGTCACTGTACTCTGAGCCCACCTCGAACTCCTCCTGGTTGGTTTTGGATGAAGATCCTGGAATCGACTCGGTCACCACGCTGCTCTCCGCCTCTCCGTCTGCGTCTCCCTCCTCTCCTTCCTCCTCCTCTCCGTCGCCGTCGCCGGACTCGCTGGTGCTGTACGGTTTCTGTGAGCCCACATAAGACGCCCTCAAATTAAACTCATCCGTCATTTGTTTCTCCATCTGATCCGGGTTCTGGGCCTTCATGATCAGCTTGTAGGTCTTTCCTTGATATTTGTACAGCAGGTGGCAGCAGGTGGCGCCAAGTAAGGGGACAGTGGCCAGTCCCAGGAGGAAGATGCTGACAACGACAATAATGAGCAGAGACGGGATTTTCTTCCTGGTCGTAAACACCACCTGAACCTGGCAGTCCTGCCCCCCATAGGTGAGGCACAGAGTGTAATTGGTGCCAGGCTTTAAACCATGGAACTGATAGGAGTTGACCCCCTCCTCTATGTTGGACCACTGAACAACAGAATGTCCATTCCCTGTGTTGATGCAGAGGTAGAGCATGTCCAGGCTGGATTTACCAGACGACTCCTGGTACAAATCCACCGGCTCTTTCACCACCATCTCCTTGTTGTCACTCTGACTGAGGTGGAGGTTGGATTTGCTTTTGGGAAGCTGCAGTGGGTTCAGCTGCACTTTGGCCTCTGTCTCTGACACCTCTAGTGCAATCACACCAAAATCAAAGGTGTACTGTTTCAGGTCCTCCAGGCTCAGGTTGAAGGCGTGGTTGGAGATGTACTCGCTGCTGTCTCTCACTCCACACTTACTGGCAAAAGTGGGGTTCTTCGAAACGCCGCCGCCCTGCTCGCTTTGGTCGATTTTGTCTCGTGAATCTTCCGGACCGCTCTTGGTCTTTTCCTCAGTCTTGCTCCAGTTGATCACATTGTTTTTGGAGATCCTGGGCACGCTAGGCTTTTTACTCGATGACTGGATTTTGTCCAGAGCAGAATCCAGCGCCGACTTGCTGTTCTGTTTTTGGGAGCCTGCCATCGCCACTCTCACACTGCTCTCCGCTTTCCCTAAATCGTTGACCGCAGAGCAGCTGTAATTCCCATCTTCCTTTTTACTCATCTGAAGAATGATGAGACTGCCGTTTCTGAAGACGAGGAACCGGTTATTGGTTGCTTTATCATTAATTGGTCTATCATTTATCTCCCCAGAAGATGGCAAGGGGAAAAGATAATTTTGATTCCCTGCAATTACCTCCCAACTGACCTGTGGTGCGGGGCTCCCTTGTGTCTCACAATTCAAGACCACCATGACTCCCTCAGGAATCTCACTGTCCTCAACGTTGGGCTGGTAGGTTATAGAGATGGTGGGGGCTCGGCAGTCCAGTTTAGGAATGTTTGTCACTAGCGTTCCCTTCAGGTGCTCAGGGGCCTCGCAAAGAATTGAATTTGGCTCAGGAACAGAAATCTTGGTGGTTGTGATCCAGTCCCTCAGCCACTCCAGGCTGCAGGAGCATGAGAAGGGGTTGTTAAAAATCTGGAGGTGGGACATGGAGGTGAGGGCATCAAAGGTACCCTGAACGATGGTAGTGAATTTGTTATTGTTGATGCGCAGCGACCTCAGGTCTTTGAGGGTGGAGAAAGCGTCCTTTGGTAGATTAATCATTTCATTGTTGTTCATTTTCAGGAGCTGTAGGACAGTGAGGTTCTGCAGATCTTGCCATGGGAAGTTCACTATTTTGTTGTAACTGATGTCCAGATTACGGAGCTGAATCAGGGGGGCCAGAGTGTCCGTCTCTATGGTAACAAGCTCATTGTGAGCCAGCCACAGAGAAGAGACCTGGGTGATATTTACGAAACTTTTGCTTTTCAGGATTCTGATTTTATTGGCTGAGAGGCTCACGGTGGTAACATTGGAGGGCAGACCCACAGGTACCACCAGCAGCTCCTTGTAAGCACAGTCAGCAAACTGGTGAGCAAATTTATCCTGGCAGCTGCACAGCTCAGGGCAGCACTGCACAATGCCAACCGCAGCTGTCCACATGGTCAGGAGAAGCAGCAACCTCCTCGCCATTTTCTGATCCTGCAAGATCAATTTAGCAGACATTAGCCACAGACTTCTTTATCTGATGTTTACATACCCACCATGTCCATTAATGCAGCAGGAAGGAAGAGTCAAGCCTTCGATTGCTGCCCTGCCCTGTTCGCTTTGCAGCTGCGTGCTCTTTGATAAAACAGACACAACTGAGAGCTACAACTACAACACAAAAAAGGAACTAATCCAACAACACAATATAAGCCGCTGCTGCTCATGCACTCCAACAAAAGCATCACATGGCAAGCCTGCATTTCCCAAGCATGCAAATCACCACTACTGGTTTACATGTAGGCTGCTTTTCAAAGCTTGCACAGATACTGCTGTAAACCATATTTTGCAGCAGCTTTGGGGTCAGTTGGTCTCATCAGGTCAAAGTCCCTGATTGCAGGAGCTGATGCTGTCTCATGCCAAAAACTAAAGAATCTCATTTCCTCTTCGTGCGTCTTCAACAAAACATTATTTTAGTTATAAGTTTGTCGGAAATGCTCCAAGTATTAATTTGCGCACTACTGCAGTTTGACGCACTGATGCACAGGCGCACCGACAGTACGTCCCGTCGGTAGCCACTTATTTCGAAGTACGTTTTACATTTTGATTGCCTTTTTCTTATCTTATTTCGAAGTACGTTTTACATTTTGACTGCCTTTTCCTTATCTTTTTTTTTTTTTCATCATCTGTTTGAATGATTCTCCTTACCTGTGCCTTTTGATAACTTCAGATCCTGCGTTGTATAAATCGCTCGGAGAGTTTACAATCCTTTGCTGCAAGTTTAAAAACTCGAGTCCTCACATGTGCTGGATTCTGTTACATGTACGGACCTCGTTGTCGGTGATAAAGGACAGTGGAAAGATCATTTTTCCAGATGAGCCTCTGCTGCAAAACCGACGGCTCTTTTTTCCTCAGTCTCCAGAGCGTGTGGACCCAGTGCGCGTTCCCGGCGCAGCGGAGCAAAAAAATAGACATGAACGCGCAGCCTCTCCCATCTCTGCTCTTCCCGAGTGTTAAAGACACAGAGGCTGCACACAGCTCTCCACCCTCAAAGAAAATTCATTATTTACAAGCTGATGTTTAATTGAGTAACCCGACCTCAGCCTTATCTTTGACCTCATTCGTCTCTTTTGTCCGCTGTTTACTGACTTTAATTACATTATTGGAGAGTTCACCAATAACGGCCCGACGGGTAGTAACTTACAAAGTCAGCCTTTTTGCCGATTTATTTAATTAAAAATAACAAACAAAAGTCAGCACAAAAAGAAAACACGCAAAATGTTGATTCATAGAACCGCATCGCTCCACTGAAGGGAAATAAAACAGAAAGACATTATTGTTTCTACTATCTCTCTTTCTTCGATCGCATAAACAGAGTATTTTATTGCTAATCCATTTTTTAAATTAATTTAATAAATAATCTTGCCTTTTGGAATAAACCCTGATACTTTTTGAATCAACGTTAACGTGCTCGTGGGCCAGTGTTTTCGTGTTAGTATACTGCCATCAACTGGTGGTTTAAAGTTAATGTTTTTTCGGGCCATGGATTTCCAATACGATAAAAACAGGAACAGGAAACCCTACTGAAAATATCATTAAAAAATGTGTTTTATAGGCAGACAGACGTTTAACTTAGAGAAACGACAAATGAAAATGATTTGATTTGCAGTGTCCCCAATCGTCAATTTGATCACATTTTACTGGACGAAGTAGGGTAGACACTTATTTAATTATACATTTATATAAAGTATAAATGTGTGTTTATATCGGCGTCTTTTTCTTACATTAAGATAATACGTCCGACCACACATTTTGTTGTACAGACATCAACATTAGTCAGCCCTGCCGTCGAAATAAATGTAAATAAAATGTGTTTATATTTCAGACACCACTGAATTTGTTCATATGCTGTGGTTCTTTTGTAACATAGACCAGACTTGGGCCGTTCTTCTGTTGACTGTTGTTAGGCAGATGCTGGCCTCTTCTGGTGAAATGGTAAAATCACATAAACAAATGCAATAATCCTCACCACGAGTAAACCGCATTACAGTATAAACTAAAATGGATTTCTTTTGTCGTGTTCTTCTTGGTTTGCAGTTGTATGCAACAACAGGGTGTGGCATGAAATTCTAACATTTCCCACAGAAATATAGTTTTGTTTTCCATTTGATCATTTCAGGTCAGTTAAATTCAAGGAATAGTTGCAGACAGAGTAAGCCTCACAACAGCTAGATGGCGACAACACTCAGACTTGATGGGTTTGGACACTTATGGTAGGCCAAGTTGTTTAGTTTATATATTCTGCTCTCCCTTTCTTTAGACCTAAACAGTGTTAGATAGATAGATTTAGTAGATTAGTCGGTTAGTAGTTGTAGATAGATCGGTCCATGTTAGTAGCAATTATTATTGATTATATTTTTATATAACCATTGTTATTCTAAATTAAATAAGTACTTACATTTGCAAGAGGAGACACCTGTGCTGAACTGTAAACCAAATTTACAAACTCTTAAATAACTATTCACTACCAACAATTTCAGTTTCTGTAATATTCTTTTCCAACAATATACTTAAAACTGTTCTTTTGAGTTTGTGGAGGCTTCATCGTCTTTACTTTAGATGCTGTTTTGTTGTTTTTTTTCTGATGTTTCCCTTGGAGTTCTTTGAGGTTTTTGAAGTTCTACCAACTCACTCCATTTGATATATTACAAAGCTGTAACTGTGCTTATCAAAGGCTCAGCTGTATACAGTTCCTCACAGAGCACAGATAAGACCGAGTGCCAGATATAATCAGACCAACTAGGCGATAGTGAAAGTATTTTAGGCAGGTCTGTGGAAAACTATGATGGTATGATCAAAACCTTTCCAAGAGACACGGTGTGTTGACAGGATCTGGATTTCATTATGTTAAAAAAAAGAATCGCAGCATGTGTTAATCCGTGGAAACGCCTTTAAATATCACTGTGACTACACTGTGTCCAGACATTTGACCACACAAACAAAGTGTGTTTGTGTGTTTGTAAGTGACACAACAGCATACAGTGTCAACACCCTCCTATCATCTTACAGCGGTTCTGTGTTTTGAAGTTCTTGTTGTGAAGAATGAAAAATATTTTTGTTAAAGGGAGGATGGCCTCAGAGACAGGCTGTTCTCGCGATCCCCATCACGGGGGAGGACTGTTTTCATAACATCTATTTTGTACACATTTCTATGGGATTGTATTAAAATAAATAAATAAACAGCACCCTGGGACTCCACAGAAGGAAGGAAATGTGAGGTTGAAGGATTTCCTCCAATGGAAATTTTGGGTTTGTGTTTATTTTGGTTTGCCAAGATTACAACAGTCTGAACGTCTAAACAGAGGTTGTTTTCTGGGTTCATGGTAAAGGTGGCAGCTATAATGTAGGCAGTGGAGTGTACGGCTTTAGAAAATAATATCTAAGACCCTTCATTTAAATGGGAGGTTGAATTAAAAATGTTTCTAAAGTGCACACATTTCCAACCTCGAGGGTGTGTGTTTTCATTCTCCTTGTTAATGTGGTCAGTAGAGACTTGGTGGGGAGAGTGCCAGACTGATTACACTACAGATTCTTGAAATGGTTTCCTTAACCCTGTAAAGCCCAAACCATTGAATAATGGTCCCTCTGAACAAACAAACAAACACAAAATTCAAATGATACAGTTACAGTTTTAATTTGTATCATCAAGTGCTACCATAATGCAGTAATGAGATATTCACTAATGGAACTATGTGGGTGGAAGTCTGGAAAACATATTATATATATTTATATTATATATATTATATATTTACATATATATATAATATATACTTATATATATATATAAAATAATGTATTAATATATAATAATACAGCAAGTTACATATCTAGTTGATGTGATGTTATGATGCTTGATGCTTTATTGCGGCTTATATCCTTGCTTGAGCAGCAGTAAGAGGAAGCCAGAACCAGACGAAGAGCCTGAGAATAGAATGTTAGACATGGTGATCATGTAGTAAGCTGTAAAAGTGCAACAGTCAGTCCGAGAACAGTTAATAATGTCAGTGATACACACGTGTGTGACGAGTCTTCAACAACTTTCCTCGTCTTTGTTTCTATGACAACTGGTGCTACGAGCTGATACTGTTTCACCAACTTTTTGTAGTCTTTCTCTTCGGAGATGCAGTTGTAGGTTCCATAATGCTCTCGTGCAACTGCTGGGATGAGGTTTAGGCAGAAGGACTGCATTTGTTCACAAGTGCTTTCCTGCTTATCGTGCTCCCAGGTGTACACGGCATGGTACGACTCTATTGGACACGACAGGTAGAGGGAGACGTTGAGTGGGACCGTATGAACTGTTACACTTTTGGGTGACAATATATGAGTCTCCCGCTTGAACCGGTTGACTTCCGCTTTTTCTGCAGCAGAAAGAAAAGGTAAAATAATGCTTCCGCTTTTTCTGCAGCAGAAAGAAATGAATTAAATAAATGTGAGTGGAAATCGATGGGCAGGTAACACAGTTTGTAGCTACTGTACCTTCCACTGATGAAAAACACTGAGTTGTTTGCCCATTCTTGACATTCTGAATGCCCCCACTAAGAACAAGTACAGAGATTACAAAGGGTTGTGAAATATTTGAAGGTCTTGAAGAATCAGTCTTTTAAATAAAGAAAGGTCCAACGAGGCTTCTGTAGCACATATTCTACCTTCTTCTACGAATTCTGGGGCTTGTTGTTGTTGTTGTTTCAAATTGCTCAGAGCTCAATAGTTATAACACGTCAAAATGACCAGAAACTCTAAAAATAAGGCAAAAAGCACCTTTTCTAAATGACGTCATACTCCTTTCTAAATGTCTGTGAAGAGGAACAATGGGTCCGATTTCCTTTCCTTTCAACAGTCTTGTTATAAACAATTTCAGTACGGTACTTACAGCACAGCTGGGCTGCAGCCAGACCTAGTCCAGGCACAGTATGGGTCCTGAGCAAGAACACAGTCAGCACAGGACCTGTTGTAATTCTGACAACTTTCAAGATCCAAGATGAAGAGTTTCTCTGAGAAACCCACAACTAACTGTTTCTGGTGGGGGGGAAAAAAACACAGTTTATAGTTTCATGAAGAAGAAGAAATAAAAAAGTGTAGATTACAAGAGAAGCACAAATCAATAATTGTTATTTGGCTCCTTAAATGACTAACTTTCTGCTTTAATAATGGCATTCATGTTTTAAAAACATTCTACAAGTGTGAGAATGGAGTCTGCCTGACTCTTGGGAATGCTTTCTTTGTCAGAAAAACAATAGCAGAAACTCATGTGTCAGCGTAAAGTTGTTCGGAACAACAAATCTCCATCATCCAGCAGAACAGTGCAAATCAATGGCAGCGTTAACGCAGCTGTTTCAAGTTTTGTCGTGCTACGTACGTTAGCAGACCGCTGCACGCTAATGCTAAAGTGTGACCTGTAGTAAATGGATAAACTTGGCATTTAATTAATAAAAACAATATGCTTGGTCCTTTTGCTTGTGTTACCTCACTCTAATCGTCTATCATTAGACTCCAAACCTAAACGGGTTACATTTCCATTTAAACACATTCTTGTACTCGGTGGCCTCACTCATAGGCGCTAATGTGCACCTGCATAATACCTGCAGGGGGTGCTGTGAATGCAAATGTGATCCCCATAGCATTTAATTTAATGTCCCAGTTGTCACGGCACTGAGCGGAGCTAACCTGCTAATCTTAGGTCTGTTACCTTTTGTGTGTCCAGTTTCATGGTTTGTATAGTTGAACTGCTCTGCAGCTGCATTTCAGAGATGATGAAAGGCTCAGACCCAGTGTCTAGGATTTTATAGATCTTTCCGTGATCTGTAGTGAAAGCAAACCACAGAAGCTGTGTGACAAAGTGTTTTTACGTTGAGTGGTATCAGAAGCCAGGTTATAAATACACTCAAATCAAATATTTAAACCCTAAACAGAATAATATGTTGCAGTAAGTTTAAATTGAACTTTCTACATCACTTAAACAAGGTTGATAAGGAATGTTTTGTGCGGAATTAATCATATTTGTCTAAGGTTATTGGTAAGAAGAACTATTGAAGTTAGTTTACAACATGAGATTGAACCAGAAAAATAGATTAACGTTAGATTTGATGTTGAATTCTTTAAGTAAAAGAATTCCTCTGTATGGTTAGGCCACAGAGTTCCAAAGACCAGGTCATTCTGTACAAAAGTTTAATATTTTCAAGTTGTTTCAAGTCACTGGTGCTACTCCCTTTGCCTGAGCTCTGTTTTTATCAAACCAAAACAATATTATCAACACAAAGAATTAATGATTGCTAACATTCTGAATCACATACCAGTGGCCAAAAGTAAAACATTATACATGAGCTGGTCCGCAGCCTGTACTTGGTCCACAACCATCCTGGTGTAATTGATCCTGCTGATATAAAATGGTGCTATGGAGTTTACTGGTCGAACCCAATCGGTCATTTGTGGATAATCCTTCACGACACGCAACGTTTCCTCTGGCAAGCTCCTGCTGTTTGGGTGACACTAAAAAAAATACAAAATAAACATGGCAACTTCAGTTCCTCAGCAACACTGAGTGAAGAGTGTAATAATAGACATAGAAAAGATGAACTGATCCACATGTGCACCATACACGCATATTTTTACACACATTTCTAAGCAGCACAAAAATAAACTTTTACCATTCCTGGTCTTGGAGTCGGTATGCTCTTTGAATAGCCCTTGAAAGTAGAGCTTTGAAATATGTGTTCAATCATACCTACAGTATAGACACAAACTGCAGAATAGTTCCTGGAAGGTGGAGAAAGGTAGGAGAAAAAGAAAAGAAAAGAATTCATTAAAAATGTGTAAAAACGGTTTATTTCTTTTTTTAAACTTTTTTTCCCCACAAATATCTAAAGTTAGAGCAGGCATGTCCTAATTATTCCTGAAATGTCATGTGGCTGCAGGTGTTTTGTTCCAACCAGAATCCAACGCATCGTATTGATGCATGCAGACAGAAAATATTCACTTTTTCTTGCACACTTTTAAGACTTTAAGAAAGTGTTGTTTCTAAACCATTGTTTGTTTAAAAAAACCCAAACAAAACATGCATTCTGTGGTCATGTAGGCCTCTGACAAGACAATGCTGGCGTGACTCGAATGAAGTGTGGTCAAATCTGCTCCAAAATTGAGGGCAAAGACTGAAAGAGCCTCTTACCATCTGACTACAGTGACAGTGGTTATAAAACGATGGTATTAAAACTGTAACTAATGTAGTAGGCATGATCTGGTTGGATCAAAGTCAAGGCATGTGGCATCCATGGGAATACAATTAACACTAATGTTATTGGCCGAGTTGAATCCTTGAATCCTATTAAATGTCCTTTCTACAGATACATGTGAAGAAAATAAAAGTGTCTAACCAGTTACTGGAGAATAAGGCATAGACCCTGGTGTTGGCCCAGTTGTCGTCATGCACCACATAGACATCTTGAAGATGATTAAAATACAGCGCTTTGTCGGGAAATCCACAAACCAGACGAGTCTTCAAAAACGAAGTCCACATGTTTTGGAGCACCGCTTTGGATCCACCTTCATCGACCTGTGAGAACATGTCAAAACTTTATACTGGTGAGACGCACTATCACTTTCAGTGCAAGATAATATCCGTGACCTGGGACTGTCATCGACACAGCGGTGATGGAACAACATTTTCCGACTTGTTTTGGACAGCTGTGCCAGTACAATATGCAGAGGGGATCGTATTGTTATATACTGTATGTTCCAGCTACCAGACAACCTCAGTAAATACAGTTAACACTGCAACACCTTTAAATAGAACACACTCTGACTTATGATCCAGCCAAGAGGGCAACCATGGTCAAAATTATTTATGGACCAGGACATGACTGTACTTTTGAAATGATTGAATGCTATAGAGCAGTGGTTCCCAAACTATTTCTACTGGTACCTCCATGCCGCAACATTGACACGTTGCAAACGCTGTCATGGATAAAGGGTTATTATTAGATAAGATAAGTAATATTGTAGAGCGCTCATCTGGGCCACCCAATGGCCAATAATCCAGGGTAATTATTAACAGGGTTTCATTTGAGCCGTCTCTGCCAGAACAGGATCCGTCACATCCGTGTCACAATGTAAAAACAAAAGATGCGGCAGAACTACTCGTTCTCTGCGTTCTGACAGAACATACCTACTCTTCTGTTTCTACCAGGAACCATGGGAAATATTGCACCTCTAAAACAGACAGAAGTCAGCCGTCAGACTGTAGAGACAGGTGATGGAGGAGGAGTCAACACACGGTTTATACCTGAGAGACTTTTGAAACAGATGCTTTGTTCATTCAGCACTACTGTTTGGTTACACAGCAGTAGTTTAGTGCAGGCTTATCACACACCGCTGAGCTGCAAATTATTTCCCACAAGGTTATGATCTCATGACATCAGGACCTGTCAGAAAATATTTACAGCCCCCATTTTACTGACATATGTGTAAATAATTGCTGACCTTCAACATTTTCCAGAGTCAGCATCAAATAATACTGGCTTTCCTTCTTTGTACGGTTTAATCAAGTGAAATGAGACTGGGAAATGTGGACACAATAAAATGGCACAAATGACACAACCCCACTTTAAGGTCTTAAGGGAGGTCATCCAGGTTAGAAAAGCACGAAATAAATACTGACCATTTGAGGTTTTAGATGCTTAATGACTTGAAGTACTCCCTAAAACATAATTTATCATTTGTTACAGTATAGAAAATATGTCTACTGGACATTTCCAGACGTAATTGTGAAGTGACAGCTAGACAACACAGTGTGATTTAGTATGAACTAGTGACTAAGACCAAAACCCTTCTCCTTTGAGGAGCAGACAGATGTTTCACTAACGTTTCCATTTATAGACACCGTGTAAAGACTGTGACTGGAAAATGTTGTCTGTTTCTCACACACAGTCTATGGAAAACAGAAGCAACATTGATTTCTTAAAGTTCCCTTATACCAACACACCTTACACACTCTGGCAACCTCGGATACAAAAGGGTCTGCATCTGGGCTGGTGCTTGGGTTCTTTTCCTGGAAGAAAATGTAAATCATTTCATTTTCAGGGTCTTGGAGCCGTTTCACCCAGGATGCAGAGATAAATGTAGGCTCTGGGAAAAGAAGAGATATAAATATTTATTCATTGTAAAGCTGAGTCAAGTAAACATTGAGCTACTGAGTAACCTGACTCATACTACACACAAGTAAATAAGTGATAAACAACCAAAAGGTCAAATGTTATTTTGGTTATTTCCTCTTCAGATCGACAGTTTGAATTACTGACCGACTGTTACAGTATGAACCCACCTTTCATCCAATTCTTAGACATCCACACCTCACGTCTGTTGCCAGCTCTCCTTCTAAATTGAAATGTACTTTTGTCTGCATTCAGAGGCACTGCTGCATAGAGGTCCCCGTCTGAACCAAGACAGCAAGAGAGATCACATGAGAGTGCGCAGAAATGTTCAGTTATGGATAACACGAGTTTGCCAATTTGACCATCTGACTTAATGGTATTACATAAGGCATACAGATGATACTGACATGGACATGAGTTACATAAAGAAATCTACACAGGGTTGTACTTGCCTGCAACCACTGAAAGTGTCTTTATGTTGTAGGATGCAGGAGAGATGGCTTTCCCACTATAACTCCTTACTATTCTAGAAGTTTCATTGTTTGACGATAAGTCCTGTGACAAAAAAAGAAAAGGTCGGAGTACAATTGGCACAGTTTTGGGAATAAAATATTGATTAGAAGCTCCACGTGGTCATATAAAATATGCAAAGGATTGGGTGTACAGTATTCAGGGATTCAGGGGAACCAGAGATGTAGTTTTCCAAACATTAGTTGCCAAGTTTAATTATTTATGTTTTTAGTAGTTATTCTTTATGTTTTTACTATAATTTTAATGTTTAATGCAAGTTAAAGTCACCAACAACACAGAAGTCGAGAGAAATGTCAAAATATAAAGTAAAACACAAGCTTTAAACGTCTCAGAGATTTCAGACAGGAGGTGACATCTCAATGACAGCGTCTGTCTAAGACCTTTTACTGGTAACCTGGAAAGAACCAGTCAGCCGATAAGAGGATTAAATTCCCTCTCCTGATTGGCTTATTGTTGCCTGGCGTACTTGTTGACAGTGACCATGGCAGCCACAATTACAGGTGTCAGATGCAAATGTTAGTCAAAACACTCACCTCACCCAGCAAGACGGCTTCAACTGGCCAAATAATATTGTTATTTAAGTTTGGAGAAATATATAAAGAAAAAAAAAACTCTATAGAAATGTTATTTATCTTACCAAACCTTATCTTGTCTTTTAGACGTGGTAAGTTGGCACATTTCCCCTAAAGAGGGCCTGAGCTCTGGTACTACTCAATTGCAAATATTCAAATATGTTTATTATATTTTTAGCAGGTTTACAGACAAGTTTGGTTTAAAATAACGTCTACAATAAACCATCATATAAACTGTACTTACCAGTTTCCAACATGTTGGCCTGGAATCGTTTCTTCCACAGACAAACAAGCCACCATCAAAACTCTCAATGACATTGATGACATTTTTACATGTATGCTGTGACAAAGAGATCAGAGATACTGTGTCACACAGAGCGGCTTCACAGCATTCTTAACTAAAAAGGTAAATGAAAGTTACCCTTTCTGGGCACGGCTTCTGCTCGGTGGCGTTTAGATAAAATATCTGTGGGAAAAATCCATGAGCAGACAATTCAACAAAGTATCTTTGGCTCCAGAGAGACTTTAACTCGGTCTATATTCTTTTTATGGCTAAAAATCACATACAACATAGAACATTCTTGGTAATACATGTTACATAGTGAAACAATAAAGCAATGTCAGTAGTTCTAGATTTCCTTTCCATTTTTTTTTTCATGACTGACCACTCATGCTGACCACTCCGTTTGGTAAATGGAGATTTACGCCTGACGTTTATTAATGAAAGACAGTAAGAACAAAAAGGCAGAACAGTGTTATGTCACAGTGCCCATTACTGACTATGTGTCTTCATTACCAGTTCATTAACAAATAACAGGTACGTTGAAAGCTGTCAGTGGGCTGAGGCTGTAGACTTGGTCTGTGAAAACCATATGTCATGTATCATCAGCGTGTCAAGCTGACAGTATAACCATGAGTTTACTCCGTCAACACGGGTGCAGCTGCAGAGGAAAAACACACTGTACGTCTGCTATTGTGTTATTCACAATAGCAGATTAAAGACCATTGACCAACCTCTTTGACCGTATAGTCCTTTGTGCTGAGTCTGATGATAAAATCTGTCCCTCCAACAATCACTTCTGCAGAGTTATTGTGGAAAAAGAGTATGGTGTGTGGCTGTTTGGTTTGGTACGTATGTCCAACCATGACTGGCTCTGAGAAACAAAGGGCACATTAAATATGCAGTCAATGGTCGGACTAATAAATGCTTTCCAACCTCAATCTAGAGGAATTGTTACATTAAAAAAGTTACATTATTCAACAATTTGGTCATATGTTTTGAAATGTATTAGTTCATATTATATAAATAGTTATATAATAAATAGTTCTATTAAATATTTTATTCAACAGTCCAATTGGGAAAAAAGAAGAATATGCTACACATGACTCCATCTTATTATATATTTTTTCTTGTAGTATTAGTATATAAAATATTGCTTTTCCTAAAACCAACATATCCCCAGAGCATCAAATGATTCCTTCTTCCCTCTTAATCGCTCCGCTGCAATACAGTAAATAAAGTTTTTGTTCACCTGAAATACCAAAAAGTGCCGTTTCGACGGCGATAGACTAGATTTGAGAATACAGTAGGTGAAACTTAACTTAGAATTAACACATTTGTACCATCTCTCCCGCTGCTAAACCGCGATCATATATAAGGGGGTAATTTACCGTGGATTCGAAGTCTGGGAAGGCTTTTATATCCATGCAACAAAAATCCACAGAGCAGCTGTAATTCGAAAGCGACACAGGTACAAATTAGAAAGAACCTCCGCATCTTGTGCAATTACGCAGCTGGCGCTTTGTAGTTACGGCCAGTCATGGTCTGTCTGAGCTTACAGACTGGTTCTGAGTGCTCCTGTGCTCCGCACTTCTACTACTGCTCCTCCTCATCCACCACCCCACTTCTAGTTCATGTTTATGTTTTACCCATAAAAGCGTTGTAACAAAAACATGGATATCAAAGCCTCGAAGTAAAGCTTTGATCATTTGCTCACTAATAATTTAAAGAAGAACAAAAAACTGTTGCGAATTTTTGAGACTTTTTTTTTTTTCTTTTTCTTTTTTTTAAACATGTACTGTAGGGGTTACAGAGTGGTAATAGTACAGCAAAAAAAAATTTGCATGTAGTTTTGCATATGATTTTTCTACAAGATACTGTACAGTGTACCTGGTACCTGTACAGTATCTAGTCTGTCTATGTTATCGTGCATTCGTTTATGTCCTTTATAAAATGTATTATTTTTTTTAAATTTCCACACGCGTCATTTAAAAATGTGATGTTTTCTGGCATATACTTACATGTCAGTTATTATATGTACATTTTTTTTTTAATTATGTGTACAGTGTGGACATATTGAACATCTCTATGTTCTGGAAAGCTGGAGGACTAAAACGTTTTTAGGATATATTGGAAAATTAAATGTATTAATATTATAGTTATTAAAATGTGTGCATAAAGTTATTTATATTTATATATATTTCAAATAAATCTCCCGTGGTCACATTTTTCTAATCTGTAAAACAACGCCCCCTCGATCACTTCAACCAATCAGACGAGAAGATCAAGACGCTGTTTGTTCCTGTTTCCGTGCTGCCATGGTGAGAACCTTTTAAATCATTTTTAGTTTGTTATAGTTAAATTTTTTACACCTTACATTTCGTTGTTTACAAGGATGGCTTATTATTCCTAGGATATGCTGTACATGGTTCACAAAAGTGTATGCTGTAGGTAAAAGGTTAATTAGGTCTATGTTTGTAGTTGCAGCTAACAGGCTAGCACGTAGCCGACGTAGCCGTTACCAATACGTATCTAATCTCACCTGGTGCTTTTGTCACAAAGCAATCATTCAATCACATAATCTATTATCTGTTGTAGCGATTCCGGTTTTGTGGGGATTTAGACTGCCCGGACTGGGTACTTGCCGAAATTAGCACGTTGGCGAGGATTGTAAGTTTTATTATTCTATACATATTGTAGTACTGAAAGTTTAATGTATAATAAAACTGGTTTCTTGTTTTTTCTACAAGTCGAGTGTAAAAATGAAACTCCTCTGTGCTCAAGTGCTGAAAGATTTGCTTGGGGAAGGCATTGATGTAAGACTTAGATTCTTATAACCTCATTATTTAAAGATATTATGTAATCGGAATATACCCACACCCATTAATGCTGTGTCCTTTTTTCCAGTATGAAAAGGTTTCGAAGCTTACTGCAGATGCAAAGTTTGGTAAGTGCCCCTGCACCATGACCCTTGTTGTTTTTATTCGACCTGTCCAAAGGAAATAAGGAAGACACCATAGAAGGTTCATGAACATAAAGGATGAAGATATGAACATGGTTAATTAGGCATTTTTATTGTTTGATTCCAAGGTTTAAACCATCTTTGAAACTACCAAATATGTCCTTTTTTTCCCAGGGAGCTGGAAATTATAAATTATTTAAATCCATAAAAAGAATGGTATGAACGAAATTAAATGAAACGAAAATAATTTTTTAAATAATATACTTTTTTTTTTAGAATATTCTGCCTTTTAATTTCAGCAACACAACTTTAATACCACCACACATGAATTGCAATGTGTTTTAAAATGAGTGTTATTATTTTGTATGGCATAATTCTATACGAGTAATTGTTTTTGCAGATAGTGGTGACATCAAGGCCAGTGTGGCAGTGCTCAGCTTCATTTTGTCCAATGCTGCAAAACATGATGTGGACAGTGAATCTCTGTCTAGTGAGCTGCAACAGCTGGGTCTTCCAAAAGGTTAGTCCTGTCACCATCATACGTCCATGTTTTGATGCAAAGCGTCTAACCCACTGCTGTGTCACAAGTAGTTCACGTTCCTTCCTAAACCATTTATATCAGTGCACAGTACCAGTATTCTAATTTTATTACTCGATCCATCAAGTAGGATCTGTAGTGACAACTACATATAATAAAAAATGGCCCAAAAATAGAATCCCATTGTTTTTAATATACCTTCAAACTGATTTGTATAATTTCCTTTCGGGAAACTGTTCCACTATGCTATTGAAAAGAACAATGTTGACGGATCAAGACCTTGAGGGTGGAGAGGGTTTTACAATGTGGTGATCCCACACTCAGATGACTGCAAATTTAGGATTATAATTTCCTATTTCAAACATATTAACATGTTTGCGCTGCATGGTTGTTTGAGCTTTATTTCAAACGCCATTGATCTGACTCACTGAAGTACAGTAAACCTTTCACATACTCTGGTTTTAGAACATGCGACAGGGCTCTGCAAGTCATATGAAGACAAACACTCTGCACTGCAAGACAAACTGAGAGAGACAAGTCTGCGATGTAAGTATTTGTCCTGGAATGTCGCGCCAGTCGTGGAATGCATGTCGTGGACTGAGACAGACAATTAAGCTCTTCTTTAATCATTTCAGTGGGAAAATTGGAGGCTGTGTCCTGGCGAGTTGATTACACCCTGAGCTCCAGTGAGCAGAAAGAGGTCAATCAACCAATGATTCAGCTGAAACTACAGACTCAAGGTGCAGAGTCAGGCTCCACAGAGACAAGTGTCGTCTCAGTTTCTGCTGACAAGTTCAGAGTCTTGCTTGCAGGTCAGTTTTAGATTTTGTCAAATTGATCAAATTTCTTTGCACAGGAGTTCTGTTTGCATCAAAATGCATACACTTTCTGTATTTCTACAGAGCTCAAACAAGCCCAGGCTATGATGAATGCACTACAGTGAAGAAAAATTCTGTGCTGACAAACTGCCAGAAGTGCCACCTTTGCACTACACAAGTTGCTTACCTACAGTGTTCTCAGTAAAAAGATACAGTATGCAAGAACTGCAGTATTCTGTCCTTGTAAATCCAGCATGTGGTGCCCTCCTACATGCAGGGAGTGCCATTAACACATTTTTAAAAACCCTGTTGATTTAAAAGCTTCTGTAACAAAGAACATGGTTTATATAAATTTAATTATGTACTGTAAAAAAGGCTATGAAAGTGTAACTGCAGCTGAACCCACCGTCTCACACATCCTCTGTCTTTAGCGATTGTTTTTGAGTGATCATATCGGTACATTTTTAGAAAGTTCTTTTATACTACATCTTTGAAGGAAAGTTCATTCCTCACTTGTTTTAAATGATAATTGGTTGTATTTTTCTGATGGATGTACTCCGAAACGCTGAATGGACCATTTTGTAAAAATGATAACAATGTAAAATTTTAACAGTGATCATGTTTTTTAAAAAGTTAAACCAAAAGCTGGTTTATCAGAAATAATTATAATAATATAAAATACAGAAAATGAATATGATACAAAAAGATTATATGGAAAAGTGATCAATGAGTAATTAACTGGTCAGTCATTGTGCTTACTGTTATTCATGACTTTTTAATGTATTACAATAAATCATACCCTGTAGTTTCAGGTTTTGTAAATGTTCGTATCTTTACTATCGTTTAATCGTATCGTTTAATAAAATTTAGTATGACAAACAGAATAACTCAAGTTTCGCCTTAGAATATTCTAATTAAAATTTTACCATTACTTTGTCACCAAACAAATTACTAATCAAAGAATTCTGAACAAATTAGTAATGGTTAGGTGAAACAGCGTGAGGAAATGCACATGCAGTACCCCCAGGAGCCGTTAGGGGGCCATAGCCTGGATTTTTAGGCGGAGTTGCACCTCATGAAACGACGGCGCATGATGACGTCACATTGTTTGGTAACAATTAACAAGCATGTTACGTACAATTTAACGTTGCCTGTTCAACGGCCACGGCAGTTTCGACCATCGTTCTTTTCAACGGTAATAATCTGTACCAGAGTTGCAATTGGATTGATTTAGAATTACGGTAAGAGGTCACAACGTGGTTACACAGATGCATGCGCAACAGGAGTTTGTTTGGGTTCTAAAGGTAACAGTGTAAATAAACGTGGAGCGTTATCCACAGAGTCTGTGTCTGTGTGTTACTTAGCTTTTAGATTATTTATTGTTATTCCTACGAGAGTTGACAACCTTTGCTTTTAATTCAGTCATTTGTTATTGTTTAATATAAACTCCGGATATAATCCGGAGATTTACACTCTTGGTCCGCTTATCCCAAATTAAGCGCACATTGATACTCATGAGAGTTCACGTCGTCATTGCTAGTATTTTGACATTCAAGGGAGTTAGCTGTAAATGTGGCGAATTTAAGGGAGTTTAACGAGAAAGTGCAGCGGATATTTGCTTCAGGCGACAAATTGGCCACCTATCACTGTGAGTGGTCAGTCCAGGTGTCAGTCTAAACCTGTATCCACTCATAGACGCCATCATTGGGTGATGTTAAAGTTACACAAAGTAACTAAAATAGTAAAAAAAAAAAAAGAATAATGCAAATATATAAAATAAACTCTAAACACCACAAATGCTAAAAAAAAATGGTACAGATACAAATGAGAATAATACAAATATATAAAATAAACCCTAAACACCACAAATGCTAAAAAAAAAGTGGTACAGATACAAATGGCTTGATTGTATTAGAATACTAATAACACTACTATAATAATACTTATACTACTAATAGTATACCAATAACATTACGTTATTAACTATTTCTGCATTTGTTTTACGTTAAACATCCCAATTATTTACACTGGCTTTGACGTCACCAGTTTGAACCTTTTGTGACAAGTTTTATTCTCATTGTTTTAGCCCTTTTTCCTCTTATCATAAAAAATGCCTGAGGGACCAGAACTCCACCTAGCCAGCGTCTATGTGAACAAAATGTGTAAAGGAGTGGTCTTCAGTGGACCGGTGACAAAATCAGAGGTCAGTAAGAGTCCGGACGTGCCCTTCACCTGCGAGGCCTACCTCATCACAGCTGTTTCCAGAGGGAAAGAAGTGAAGCTAACCCTCACACCATTGAAGAGTGATGGAAGTAATCAGAGAGCTAAAAGAGCACAAACGGACCAACCCATGGACATCGTCTTCCGTTTCGGGATGTCCGGTTATTTCACCTTTACGACAGAGGATGAGTTGCCCAAACATGCACATTTACGCTTTCATTCCAAGGAGAATCCCTCCAGGGTGCTGAGCTTTGTAGATACACGGAGGTTTGGCAGCTGGGAGCCCAATGGGACATGGCATTCTGATAGAGGGCCCTGCATCATGTTTGAATATGAAAAATTCAGGTGAGTCATCTCATAGTCTCTCATGCCTCCTGTGGATTTAGATAAACACTACTGCACTGACACGTTGATAATTTTGCAGAGACAATGTGGTGACACGTCTCTCTGACCGAGCCTTTGATAGACCCATCTGTGAAGTTCTCCTCAATCAGAAATACTTCAACGGCATCGGGAACTATCTGAGGGCAGAGATTTTGTTCAGGTAATTTAAACAAATTACAGCATGCATACACTGTAGATAAGTAACATGCTCCTGTTGATGAAGATGTGTCACAAGTATCAGTTCCTTTTTGGTATTTCTGAGAAGTGACGCTATAAATATAACATAGATGTGCCTAAAATAATAATTGTATTTATAATGGGGCTGTCTTAACAGGAACCAGTTAATTTAAGCCCAAAGTAAGACTAGTGTAGAATCTTACTATAGTACATGGTGCAAAAGTACACAAAGTGATATGCAGAAGACGCAGGGACCAGGCAGTGATTGTTATTGGCTTTCACATTAAGGTAGCCATACAACACTATCTTCTCATTAGCTCGTTGACATCCGTGGCACTGATGCTGCTTCCTCAGTAAATTACAGGGAAGTCAATGGCACTGCCACAGTTTGGTGGCATATCTCCAACATTCTGTGGCGTACACTGAAAGATGTTTCCTCATAATAGTCTCTGCCCATCCTTTTCTTGATCATCTGTCCCACAGTTGTTCCCACCGCTTTTTAACTGCTTCAGTTCTCATTATTCCCATGACCATGAGTTTCACATATCTCTGTCTTTGCTGAATATGACTGAGTCACTACTGACTAACTGACTTTGAACAATGTACAGTTAGATCATGATGTAAACGCCGCGTCACTTCCCCGGGTTTTGAGGGCCATTTTCTTATGAAACATAATGAAATCCTTTGAGTGATCCCAGTTTCCTGCCTCTGTGGGAAGACGTTATGAATCAGACAGACACTAAAGAGACAAAGTTGTATTGTTTCACTGAAAGAATATGCTCTCTTTCACTTTGTAGGTTGAAAATACCTCCCTTTGTGTCGGCTAGAACGGCGCTGGAGGGACATGAGTCAGAAGATCTTAATGAAAATGAAAAACCTGTAAAGACAGAGATCACAGCCAGAAAGGTGAAGGTTAGGGTTAGATCTTTGAGCCAAAGGAGTCATCCACATTACCACCATCTGTTTTATAACACCTCTATATTCTGTACTGAAGGCCTCCCACACAGTTAAAAAGAAAGCAATGAAAGAGGAGACGGGGGATCTGCTCCGACTGTGTCATACGGTGCCTCTGGAGGTGGTGAACCTGGGTACGTCATTCATATGAGTTTACTGAACATTTTCAGCCGGACGTCTTCTAAGTCCTGATATTTTTATGCTTTTTTTTCTGTGAGTTCAGGTAGTGGTAAGGGTTATGACCCCACAAAGCAAGACTACTCTGACTTTGAAGCCTGGCTTCAGTGTTATTACGTGGATGGAATGAACTCCATCAGGGACCACAACGGCAGAACCATGTGGTTCACAGTGAGTCAAAGAAGATAGATAAATACAGTAGATAAATATTTATGTGTTGTTATTAACATGAACTCCTCTGACTGTTTCAGGGAGAGCCAGGTCCCATGGCCCCTAAAGGTATGTCATACTTTGAAAGCACATGATTGTAGTACCACCTTGAACCACAGTTTACCTAAAGAACTGCCTCAGACCAACCATATGCAGAAAACATTTTTGTCCTTTACAGACATACTGTAACAGCACCCAGAGGTACAGTAGACATCGTCATGTTCACGGTACCAGTTAGAGCTGGTTTCATCTGTTTGAGATGAATTTTTGTCCAGCTCTAAATATCCTTCAGAAGATTGGCCTGCATTGGTCATATAGCCATGGCTACTGCCACCGTTCTGCACTGTTGGTCAAATTCTTTTCTTGTCATTCAACTGTTGCAACAGAAAACAAAACTATTTAAACAGTTAGCATTTTTGCAGTTGTCCCCAGAGAACACTGTAGACAGACATTTGGGAAACGAGAGACATTGAATCACAGTTAACATGTAATCGAAAATCCCCACTGTCGAACAGAACAACATCAACGTGTCCCTCTCACTTTATTTTTGGTCACTTAAACTTTATATAGACTCATTCCAGGATCCAGATTGATGTGGTTTCCAAAACGTGTAAGTCAGTTCATCTCACTGTGATGTTATCATTACAGAGTCAAAGTCACCCAAGGCTAAAAAGAGAGCAAAGACAGCGAGCGACAACGATTACACTGATGACAACAAAAAGGTACTATCACGTCCAAATATTTTGCTGCTAACAGTTTTGACCAAATAGTGCCAAAAATTAAACAGCCAGTGTTACATATCTCTAATTGTCTTTCTTCAGATGGCAAAAGGCAACACAAAGAAAACCCTGTCAGAAACAAAGCCCTCACATCATCAGGTAACTGGATCCAACAGGAAGCAGCTGGAAAAGGACAAAGTAAAGAGTGGAAATGGATCACCTGCAGGTCAGTTATTAATAAATATCCTCTTTTATCGTTTATATTCTTCATTGGAGAAGAGTTCTAATGCAACTTTTTATCACAGGTTCTCAGAGGCGGAGCCAGAGACTGACCAGGCAGAGAAACCTGACTAAATAAGACTTTACTGTTGTTTTTTTATTATTATTTTCTACAAAACGTTTGTGTATGTAATTTTAAAGGGAAGTAAAAACATTTTTAACAAATATTTACAGACTACAGTAACGAGTTTCAACCACAGCATCAGTTAGTGATTCATCATTTGGGAGGGATTCACTGTGACATCATGAAAAGAGAAGTGACATCTTTTCAAGTAAGCCATGGTTGTAATGTTTGCTGTAATTATGTGTCACAATAACACACCCACTCCCGGCAGAGTGGGCAGGGGACGGATATACCAACTTAGATCGTGAGCCAAATCATTTAACTCCTAGGCTGCCTGGACCGTCTTAAACTACTGGTTGTATAATACTGTATGTCGAATGCTGGACCATCGTTAACACTGGCATTTAAGCCTAGCATTGCTTTAATCTCGAAACTACCAGAAAGTATTAGTTGTAGGGAAGTGAGCAGTGCCCTGAAGACAGACTCCTCCCTTTTGTTCACTAAAACAATTGCACGAAAATAAACAGGGTTATTACAGCTGAAGGCATTGTGAGCCATCTCCTGTCTACATTAACAGGGTTATTACAGCTGAAGGCATTGCCATCTCCTGTCTACATCCAAACACACATCTAGCACAGAAAGCGGAACCACATGGTTTGTTTGTCTGGCTATAGCTGCTGCCAGTGCTCAGTGGTGCACACCTGCATCCAACTGTGAGGCTCTCTGTGTCTTTGACCTTGTGGTCTGGACCATCTCAGCTATGTGGAATTGACAACAATGTTTAGTTCCTCCTTTATCTGTATGTTTGTATCACATGCTGCAGCCTGTGATACAAACACAAACTGTGAAGAAGCTGATTTTTCATCCCCCACACCTCCTACTGGGAATCTACTGTTAGTGTGCCAAAAACCTTGGACTTATCCAAGGCTTCCCAGAAAAGTGTCTTGTGTTTCTGAAATGAAAACTGAAAATCCAGGTGTTTTCATAGTCATTCCCAAAGACAGGTGATTACCAGGCTCCAAATGCAATTGAAGGGTGAAAAAAAGGACTTCTGGTTGTTGTATTGGCTAGGCTAACATGTTGCAACATATGTCCTATGGCTGATGATGAGGTTCACAGACCAGATGGAGCAGTTATCTAAATACATTAGTTCTTAGACTGACAAAAGATTGGATTGACAAATGGATGGATGAATAAAATGGCTTCACAATTTTTTTTATTGACATATTAATGAAGACATTTAAATATTTGTGTTTTCAGTATTTTGACAACCAGTACACACTGAAGCAGACTTGACGCAGAGAAATATGACAACACTGTCAAATACAGACCAAAGGGCAACAATAAGTTAATACTGTTGTTAAATGGG